CCGAGGCTCTCACCTCGCCCCAAAGTCTGACTGGGGACACCAGGACTGAGTCCAACACTGAGGTGTGTGTGTGTGTGTGTGTGTGTGTGTGTGTGTGTGTGTGTGTGTGTGTGTGTGTGTGTGTGTGTGTGTGTGTGTGTGTGTGTGTGTGTGTGTGTGTGTGTGTGTGTGTGTGTGTGTGTGTGTGTGTGTGTGTGTGTGTGTTGTGTGTGTGTGTGTGTGTGTGTGTGTGTGTGTGTGTGTGTGTGTGATGTTGTGTGTGTGTGTGTGTGTGTGTGTGTGTTGTGTGTGTGTGTGTGTGTGTGTGTGTGTGTGTGTGTGTGTGTGTGTGTGTGTGTGTGTGTGTGTGTGTGTGTGTGTCGTCCACTGAGTCGCCCAGCCCTTCCCCCCCACACACACACACATATCATCCACCCAGAGCCATTCTATCTGTATGGAAATTTGGGCTCCACAGCTGGAATCCCACAAAGCACTGTCATCTACTAATAGTTATTATCTCTTTGGCCTGTTCCCTCACAAAAACCCTGCAATACAAGCACATCGCATCTTTATGGTAATGCCCTGCAATATAGCCCCAAGCTATGGTGCATAGACCTTTGTTATCATTACGATAATTCCCATTCTCACTTGACTCCTCATTACACCATTGAAAACTGCTCGGGGTTGGATATAGACAAATTCTTGCATCTTTCTTTATTACACTGTAGCATACAGTGTTGAAACACAAAACTTAAACTCTCCAAATAAACACAGAGGCAGTCGGTTTAATGACAATTAAACTTAAGGTCATTATGAATCAGCAGTAGAGGCCTGTTTTTGTTATTGTATTTGTGCTTATTTGTTGTAGACAGGACTTAATGATAGTCAATATCATTATGTCGTGTGAGTTTTACAAATCTAGGTTTTTATTTGCAATTACTCATTTCAATAAATGTAAAATTAACTAAATGAGTTGACTATGGACTTTGCGGCGAGATTTATCGTCAACCGCTTTTTCCAAGTTCAAGAATGAACCTCAAAGCTTTTATACATATACACTTTTGTCTCATCTAAAACCGTGTGACACTTAATGTGAAATGCATTTAATACGAATTACATTATTTTCTTTGTACTTTAGAAAATAATTGCCATTTTGTACAAGCAAGATATGTCGTCATCATTACTGTAATATAGACTATGGCTTTATTGCCAAGACCTAGTGTCAAATGGAAGATAATAAACCAGATCTCAGATTAAAGCTAAATACTTTAACAACAGTTGTAATACAATGTTTTAGCACAGAGAGATAAGAGGAGGCTACAGGGATCAGAATCATGTAATCTGGTAAAAAATCTGTGTGAAAGAAATCCACTTCTATCAATATCTCCAATAAGGTTGTCCTATTTTATGCTTTTATATTTGTATTCAAAATGTGTTCTACACAAATCTTGTCTACATTTGAAAGATAAACCTTCTGGCTTAAAATGTTATGTTCTCCTCTAATGGGTGCAGGGTCCACAGTGAAAAGAGGCTGAATGTGTCAGAGGTTTTCTTGTCAGGTTTCAGAAGAGCAGGTGATTTGCTACACAAGTATGCCATGAGGCTTTGGGTCAGCTCTCTGTAAGCAGCAGAGAGACAGGGACCTGGCCGTGGCTGCTCGTGTCCTTGCGTCTCCTCATGAATGCCCACACAAGGCCTCTGGATTGACACAAAAAAGTAATTGCGGAGTGATTGGCACAGCTTGTCCCGTGCAGCCTGCGTCCCGCACTTGAAGGCTCTCCTCGGAGCACCCTCATTGTCACACAGCCTTTTAGCACCTTTGTTCCAGCCTTCCCCTAGGACCTCACAGCTTACTATTGGCAGATGAGTCCCTGCCTGTGACAAAAGGGTCCCTGCGCTCAGCCTCATTTGATGCAGTGATGAACCCCCCCCCCCCCTTCACACACACATAGTGCACACACACACATACTGAAACCTCCTCCTGTGAGAAGAAATGTTCCGTTTAGCGGTGGAGGATGTGGGGGTCAGGACCCAGGGGTGGGCTTTTAGGAGACAAATAAACATCCGAGCAGGAGAGGAGTGATGTCTTCTTTACACATTAGGAACCATTTAGCAAGTCTCACTGTTTTCACTGCGTCTCTCCGGTGGCTTCTCCAACAGCTGATCTTTGTCTTTTGTTGTCTTAGCAGCTCACAATCCTGTCAGGATCAACACAGTGAATGATGTGAACAGTCTGAGTTGATCCCGATTAGGATCTGTGCCGCTATAACTGACAACAAGCCAGTAGAAATAAGTTGTCTATCATTTAATCTTGCTTACATGATTGTGGCTCGTCCAGTATATTGGAAAGATACGGAATAATAATTAGCCGGCAGCAATTTCGCCTGTAATTGTCATCAAACTGTCTCTCCATATTTTGCTCTTACCCTTCTAGTGTTATTTTTTGTGATAACCAATCTCACACACACACACACACACACACACACACACACACACACACACACACACACACACACATACACACACATACACACAAGCTGCATCTTTCTAATACCATCTAATGAGGTGATGACCAACCACTTGTTATAATTGCTTCAGTCTCCTTTTAATTTTCAAGCTTATTAATCATATGTAGAGTTATTTAAGAATGCATAAATTAATCTTAGATTAAAAAGCCTATCAAAGCCTCAAAACAATTAAAGAGTAAGGTAAGATTTCCCCCGGGCTGGGACTTTTATTTTAATAGAGTGTTCAGGTGATTATCATACTTTGATGCAGCACTGTGATTAATGCAGACACACTTTTAAATGAGCTGTTCTCTCGTGCACAAAAAGGTAGAATAAGCACGAGCCTGATTATGACCTTACTGACTTTTTGGCTTACTTTTTTCATTTTCTTTCACAGGCAATTATACAACGTCACTTTCTAGTGAATGAGTCTGTGAATGTTACATTTAGTTTTAAAATATAGATTTCATGTTAATCTGTTGTGGTGAGTTTTGGGGGGATTATTTGGTGTCCATTTAGTTGAACAGGATTTTTAGGCCATTTCATTCCAGTTGAGTTCACACTGTAAACAAAGCCTTGGATTTATCTGATGGCAACAATGACTTTTACTTAAGATGTTTGTGTTGATGACAGTCGATGTTTAACAGGCCCTATCCGTTCAATAATCAATAGATTAGCAGATGGAGGAGATGGCTGCTTAATTTGAATTTTCTTTAATGCCCCAAATTGGTTTGCATTTTCCTTTAGAATTATCCAGTTATAAAACGTGTTTAATCCCAAACGCAAATGGGTAGTGATTGTAAAATAAATACGATTTTGCAATATTATAATATATCATATTTTCGTTATATTATTTTGTTCTTCTCCAGATATGAAAAACAAATTAAAATGTGGGAATTAATTCAGTTTTATGTGATGGTTCCCAATTTTAATTTTAAACGATGCGATAAAAGAAATGTAAGAACAAAAAATGGTGACTGTTTTACGATCCAATTATTGTATAAATAGACCATATTTGTTTTATATTTCATTAACTCGTATTTGAAAACTGCCCATGTTTAAATTAACAAAGCATCTTTCCTCTCTTGAAATTAGAGAATAATTATAGACAAATTGTCATGGCCATCCAGCTCTCTCGCACTGAAGTCAATAGGACCAACAGGAACGTGTCCTGTTTCTTCATCAATATTACATCAGTGCTTGGCGCGGCGTGTGCCTGATGAAGATGATTCACCCAAAGCTTTATTGACTTTAAAAAGTTAAACGTGCGTCGTTTATGGTGAGAGTCTGCGCGCATTGTTCCTCTGTCTGATCTTTTATCCTTTCAGCCCAAAGGGGGGAAAAGCAAAAACAAAGCGCAGATCACAGAGAGTGACCTTTGGAGCAGCTGGTTATTGTCAAAACGCATGTAGGCGAAGTGTGGCTGGTAAACGATGAATCCGTGGGAACCAGCACATGTTGAGGGCCTGCACCCTCATTCAGCAGCGGGCCCTCTCTTCACGCTCACCACAATGTGTCCCTGCTGTTTTTAAGCGCAATGCCAAATCCCACCGTGCATAATGTTAATAACATAGCGTTTTCTAAGATGCAATAGAAAAACGATTAATTAAAATGCATTGTTCGACACAACAGCCTACAGTGTAATGACAAATAATGTTTATTTTTGTATTGCATTTAGACAAAATAGGCTATAACATGTTTTATTTGATAATTGTAGACATCATCCATATGCATCAACCATGGACCAACACTCCAACCATCATTGGTCATGAAACCATGGTTAATGCATGCTGTCTGTGGGAGTGGGAGTGCCTCACCTTAAGTTTTGCCGTCACTTGATTGCCGTGTGTGTCGTAGAGGGGGCTGTACCAGAGTCTGCCTGCCATGTGCACACTGCTGCTGCTGCAACACAGACTGTATGCACACACCGACCGCGGAGCAGAGAGAGGAGGACAGCGAGCAGGAGGGAGGCGGTGCTGCACGGACAACTGCGTCCCACTCCTAAAGAAAGCATCTTTACATCCAACAGAGAGTATACTTCTCATCTCTCTGACCTACACTTGATCACAGCTTTCTAAATAACGACACTGCGTGAACATTTAAGGTGAGTTTGAGCAACTGATTTCGAGAGTATATGCTTTTGATGTTAGTGTTTGATCATGTCTTCAATCCATCTATAAGAATATTTTAAGATTAGTATGATGACATTTTATTCCGAATTTCACCTAGGCCTAATCGTGAGAATATGTTAACGTTTCAGGCCAATGCAATTTAAGTGGAGTGATAAGTCAGGAATGTATGGACATCTTATAAATGTGTTTAGATTAAATATTGAATAAAATCCCTTCATGCAAACTTTATTAAATTGGAGGCCGGTAATAGTATGTCCTAGATGTTTCATCTTTAGAAAATGTAATACCTGTTTTTAAATAATGAACTAGAATTTTCCTTTAAAGAGACAAAACCCACATCTTAATGTCAATCCTCCTCTCTGCAGCTGCCAGGCCTTCAAGGATGGACTCCATACCTGCTGGACGAGACTCCAGCTCCTCGCCAACCTCGAAACAAGAACTTTCCTACTCCAAGAACCTGAAGCCCAACCAGGTGGGACATACGGTGCTGTACGGAGTACCGATCGTGTCTTTGGTGATAGATGGCCAGGAGAGACTATGCCTCGCACAAATATCCAACACGCTGTTGAAGACTTACAGCTATAATGAGATACACAACCGGCGCGTGGCACTGGGCATCACCTGCGTGCAGTGCACCCCCGTGCAGCTGGAGATCCTGCGCAGAGCCGGGGCCATGCCCATCTCCTCCAGGCGCTGCGGGATGATCACAAAGCGCGAGGCCGAGAGACTCTGTAAGTCATTCCTAGGAGCTCACGCGCCTCCTAAACTTCCAGAGAATTTCGCTTTTGATGTTTCTCACGAGTGCGCGTGGGGGAGTCGAGGCAACTTCATCCCGGCGCGCTACAACAGCTCCAGGGCCAAGTGCATCAAGTGCTCCTTCTGCAACATGTATTTCTCTCCAAATAAATTTATATTTCACTCTCATCGCACGCCAGAGTCCAAGTACACGCAGCCGGACGCGGCTAACTTTAATTCTTGGAGACGACATCTTCAACTTTCAGATAAAGGTAGCCAGCAAGATGTGATGCACGCGTGGGAAGACGTGAAGGCCATGTTCAATGGGGGCAGTCGCAAGAGGACGCTGCCAGGCTACGGGTCAGATTCCAGCTCTTCCTTAAAATCACATGGACACTCCCGTCCCCGAGAATCACCCGACATACCCGCAAAAATCATCAGCCGCGAGGACAACCTGGTTGGGATGTCGAGCACGCGCAGCTACCCGGTCATCCCCGTGCCCAGTAAAGGCTTCGGGATGCTGCCAAAGATCCCTCCGCCGCTCTTCCCTCACCCGTACGGGTTTCAAGCTTTCGGCCTGTGTCAAAAGAAAGACGACATCCTGATGGGAGACCAGAGCAAAGCGGGCCTGCCGGGTGTCCTGTGGCCGGGTACCAAGGACAGCGCCTACCCCTCCTTCCCCATGTTCTGGCCCGCGGCCGGCGCGCTGCCCATGCCCCCGTACCCCCAGACTCAGCACAAACCCCCGCCAGAGCTGCTGTGTCCCCCCAGGCAGACTGACATGGAGCTCTCCGAGCACAGCGACCGGAGCACCAATACCTCAAAAGACAGCATGGTAGAAAACGACCGGTGCTCCAGCACTCAGTCCACGCGTAATGAGGACGATAAGTCCGGGGACGAGGCGAGGCCTCTGGAGGGGATGACCCTGGCCTCCCGGAAAATCAGCTACGTGTCCGCCTTCAGGCCCGTCATTAAAGACGCGGACTGCATCGCCAAGCTGTACGGCAACAGGGGCGCTTTCAACGGGGGTCGCACTGGCTATTTATCGCCCGATTTTTTAAGTGAGAGCTCAAGCTACCGGTCCATGTCCCCCTGCGTGGACAGTGAGGGCGAGCCGGACGTGGATGTAGAGACTAATAAAACACCAGAGGAAGAGGAAAAGGAGGAGGAGGAGGACTCCCGGCCTCTGTCCTCGGTGTGTCCTCGGACTCCCCCTCGGGCTCACAGTGTCTCCCCATCCAACTCAGACTCCAGGAGCCTGCAGGAGGCGGTGAACTCCCAGAAAGTGAGCCTGCATGTGGCCCAGTCCTCTGACAGAGAGCTGCAGAACAAGCAGCTGTCAGAGACCCACATAGCTGCGTCTTTTAATGAAGTGAGTGACACTGGCGATAAACACAGGCTGTAACATTTCTCTAAAGTGGGCTTCTTTCCTTGACTTGTGTGTGTATTTTCAGAGAGAAAAATATGTGTGTTCTTGTTTTTAAAAAAACGGTGTATTTTATGATAAAACTGTGTAAAAGCAGCAGCATGTCCACAACATTTAAGAAAAAAAACTTTAAATAAAAAAGATATACACTTCAACTTAGAGTACCATTTTTATTAAGATTTTATTTTAATTGATTATTATTCGTTTGTAAAACGTCTTGTAATTTTAAGAGTTAAAATAAGTGGTGATTGTGTCTTCTGTAGGTGTACACACCGGAGAGGGCTGAGCTGCAACAAAGGAGCAGTCCGTATCAGTTCAGACCTGCGAATTACAAGATTGGAGTACTTACATCAAATGGTTAGACTTTCTTTTACTGCTTTTTGTAAAGAAAAATCGCTGTTTGAAAAAAAAGAATTGGCGGTGAAAATCACATCGATTTATTTTCTCTTAAGATGAGGGTGCAAGTAAAGAGGAGCCGTCTTCCACAGTGGAGGAGGTCGAAACGAAATCTTGTGATGAACAAAGCAGCGAGGAGAACCAGCGGGAGCCGGATGAGGGTAAGTTGCACCGAGGTCAGACAGTAGGATTTTATTTATTATTAAATCTAAGTTTTAAGAGATACAGGTTTTTTAATTTTTTGCAAATATCAGGAATTTAATTTATGTTCTGTGTGCTCAGACGAGGCTGCGCCAGCCAGAGCTCCTCCAGCACAAAGAGCCATAGAAAGTCTGGCAAAAGGTAAGACCATGTCTTACTGTTAGATACAATGATTAACAGTCAACAAGACACTTAACAATGATTTATAATCATCTTATAATACAACTAATACAACAATATGAACAAATGTTTTTTTTACAAAACTCAAAATAAATTGGACGTTCATTATTGTTATTTCTCAGTTTTTGCAATGAGCCAGCTTCTTTGGCATTTGTCCCAAAATATGTATTTTTTAATGTAGACCCAGCAAGACCTGCCCTGAATAGGCTGTGTAAATGATGATGGTGTCCTCATCACTGTCATTATAAATAGAAAATTGTCCTAGAAGGAAGATGATACAAACGCCTGCTGTACCTTTGCTCCTCCAACGTCCTCTATTTTTTGTCTGCTTTTTAGAAGAACTACAGAAGCAGCTGTTAGAGCAAGTTGAACTGAGGAAAAAGCTGGAACGTGAATTTCAAAACTTGAAAGGTAAGCTAAATTCTGCAGCAGTGCTTTCCCCACTTGTTGGGCTTTTATTACCACAGAAGTGACAGAGAGAGAGTCAAAAGTCTTTCTGGTGCATGTTGAGTGTTGCTCTCCTGTCATGTTTCTGATTCAGGCCAAAACATGAACCTTTGCCATGGCACGACCAAATCCACATCAACAGAGGCACACCTGGGCTCTGGAGCCAAAATCTCTTATAGGGCACCATTTTTCCAAAAATCCTAAGTGGTTCAGGGCCACACTCCTGATGGGAAGAGGTTCTTTCAAAGCCACATTTAATAAAGATTTCAGAGGCTTGTGATTTTAACCTTTTGTCCAAAACACATCCCTGCTCCCTTAGAAAATACTTCTCTGAAGGGAAGCAGGTGCAGATAGTTAGGGGCTTAATGAAAATGATATAAAAATGAATATAGTGAGTACAAATAGCTTGTTTTGAATATAATTGGACACTAAAAGATATTAAGCTATTAACAAGAAAAACATGTAAAAGCTGAGGAGAGTGTCAATTTGATTCAAATTAAATATCAAAATTGATTTTCAGCCGCTATGAATGACAACAAAATATGTTATTGACTTTTGTGGCTTTACTTTAAACTCTGCAGGTGGAAAAAATATCCAAATTCTTAATCTTAAAAAAGGTATCTACGCCCAGAATAAGCTCTGATATGCTTCATGTAAATCTTAGGAGAATTGCAGGACACAATATCTCTCATACTCTCACTGCTGCAGTGTTCAGAGTTTCTCCTTCGCTCACAAATGCTTGAAAACATCTCATTTACTCTTTTGGTGCTCTGTTTTGAATCCCAGAAAACTGGAGACTTGATGCTCTGCGGGGCAAATATCAACATTAGTCTATCTCATACATGTCCAGATATGAAATTACATTTAGCAACATTTCAGATGTGCAATAGGCGAATGTTGTACAAAGACATTATAACGTCTTCATGAAAATTGTTTAATTTTAAGATCAGTGTATTTAATCAAGATCAGTGTCCATCAGTTGTGGGTGTAAATAACCACTAATCTGCAGTATTTTACCAGCAAAGACATCTAGGACAAAACCTGTGGTTTATTGAATTTATATTTCTTTGCTCTCACCTTTATGCAAAAACACATTATGTCAAAGTCAGTAGGATGTCTATAAATGAATGTAAATTGGGTTTTCTGTATATTCACCTCAGACTCTTTAGGGTATATTTTGGGGTTCTGGATTGTATTGTTCCATCATCTTCCACCTTCCAACAAATGTCATATAAGTGTCCAATGATGCGTCTTACTTAACATTGATTTAAAGCAGTGTGGTAGACCTTACTCATTTCTGCATTTGTTTTTCTTTATGCATTTATGCATTGTATTACATTATTGGTTTACTACACTTGGTGCAAATGCCTCTGTTATACATTTATACCTACTTTTATTCCATCTGCACCTAATTGCTTATAAGGAGGGCTGTCATGGGTCTGCAAACAAGGCACAATTAAAGTCAACACAAAATATCTAAACAGTTCCTTGCATTGCCCATTTAAGATTTGTTTTAGGTAGCCTAGTTTGAATAAAAGGAGATGAGACTTTTGCAACCTGTTTTACCATTTACACATGAGTTATTGTGTATTTGCTGCATGAACCCAACATTTTCAGAAATCCAGCAATGAAGTTGCATTTTTAAATGAATATAATGAATGTTTACTGAATTATTTTTCAAAATACTTTTTTTTCTTTTTATTATGAAAAGTAATTTAAGTATTTGTACCACAGCATGTGAAGTGTACATTTTGGACCCTTATAAGGCCGGGTTTTCGCTTGATCTTGATGTCAGCGCCCTCTAGAGGCTGTGAGTCGGGCCGGACCAGTTAAAGCATTCTAGTTCTCAGGTGTATTTAATGCAAGTGAATATTATCCACTTCCTACCAGAAAGAAACTATCGCGAGCCCTTATCCAACTAAATTAATATTTACCTTTTTGTTTCATTGTTACGTTATCGTGAATATGTGACGCATAAGAGGCATAGTGGCTAATTGAACGCTTTTTGTGTCTGTGAATTCGGTTTTAATGGATGTGTTTTTTTAAGGAAGCTTACTGCACATCACTGACTATAATCTGTGTCTGCCTTTTGTTCCTCAGATAATTTTCAGGATCAAATGAAAAGGGAACTGTCGTACAGGGAGGAGATGGTTCAGCAGCTGCACATCGTCAGAGGTGAGAGACATAAAGCAGAGGGAACGGATAAAGCAGCGGAATTACAGATTTACTCTGGCAACGTGATTGATGACATCATATAAACTCAGATGCTTTATGTAAACGGGATATCAAGGATTTGCGTGTGTTGACTCTTACGGTTGTGATGCGCAAAGTGTAGCCTGCTCAAATCACGCAAATTACTTGAAAGGATGTGGTAGACACTTCATGATTTTTCTCACAATTTATATTGTTAATATTTTATTTTAAAATATGAATTTAAAAAAAAATACATACAGCTATAACCTGTTGAATAAAAAAAAATATATATATGTCTTCCTAGTTTTTAAAATGATGACTTGGGCTCATAGCTTAGACGCTTTGTGCAGCTATTTGGACCAAGACAAATAAACTCTTGAGGCTATTCAGATGAAATGTTATGCTAATTGTTGTACATTCAGGGTGAATTACAGTTAAGAAGATATGCAGATTATGTTTGCACCTCAATGCTCAAAGACAGGCAATACTACTTCACCCAACACTGACATCCAAAACATCCAAACATTTTTAGAGCATGCCCCTTGAATCAACCAACCAATCGAGTTTTACTCCCAAAAGCCTGATACATATACGTCTATTCTGTGTTATACTTTAACATCATTCTCAATGCATGCGATTTACCCTCCCGTGCTCGTACACTATTGATCTTTCATCTCCTTCTTCTTAGAAGCTCACGACGCTTTACACCATTTCTCGTGTAAGATGTTGACTCCTCGCCACTGCAGCGGATCCTGCTCCTTCAAATCTCCTCTCCTCCCACCCTGAACCAGATGACATTTTATGAAAGAAAAGGGACACAAAGGACACATCTTCTGTCAAACCATGAAAAACCTCTGAGGCATCCAGTCTAAAGAAGACTAACTTGTAATTACTTGTAATATATTGAATTGAAATGTGTATACACCCTCAGTATTTATGTAACCATCTTGCATACAGTGTAATTTGTTTTTCTGAAATGATACCATTGATGATATTTATTATTTGTGGCAAAGTGCAATGACAATGTGTGTATACTGTAATAGTCATAGGTTGTTATTTCCTCTTTTTTTGTCAATAATGGAGGCTTTTAATAGCCAATTCATTGCTCTTTATCCTCTCAGTATTGTGCATAAACCTAATACATTTTCTATGTTCTTCTTTGCAGGCCAATAGCTTCATTTGGATGTTATGCACTTTAAACAAATTATGGTCATTTCTATAAAAAATATTGTGCATTGAAATCGGCCTGCAATATAATTATTTGATGCGTCAAACCATGCCTAACTGTTTCTGAAGACTTTACAGAAGTCATAGGCTACATTTGTACACTGCGACCTTGTAAGTATTGCAACATATTCTAAGAGTAGCCTATTTGTTCATGTAATATTTGTTTTTGTCGTTGATGAATAAATCATTTTATGAAAACAAATGTGGAATCATGCCCATTGTTGTCAACTTGAATTAAAGGAATTTAGGCCATAGCCTAACGCTTAAATTAAGAAGCCATAGGTTGTTCTGCTTTTGATTCATGTGCAACTTTGACCTTTGTGTGTGTGTTTTCAAATGATCTTTATGTGGTAGCCCCTTGATGGATCGCCAAAAGAGGAACTTATAAGAAAACATATTTTATGTTTCTTAGAAATGCTGTATGAATGCAACTTTTAGCCTAATTGTATTTGATCAATGAATTGATTTTCCACATATAGAAATATATAGCCATTGCAGTAAATAGTCGCTAAATACAATTTCCCAGAGCTGAAGGTGACGTCCTCAAGTTTTTGTCGGACCAACAGTCTAAATCAAAATATCATGTGTTTATTTGTCAGTGATCCAAAGCGGAGAAAATCTTTATTTACTTTTATGTTGTTCATCATTTGTGCTTGGAACATGGTTTACACGATTAAAGGTAGGGTATGTACGTTTATGAAACCGGCTCGAGATCGCTAGAATTTGAAAATACACGACCGGAGAAAATCTGCCACTTCCTTATAGAGCCCCTCCTCCAACACACACGAACGCGCACATGACCAATGAGGGCACGAGATAAGTTTGTGCACAGATGGAAGGCTGACAGGCAGGTAGGCCATCCAGTTATTTTAGCCGGGCCGGCTAAAATGATTGGTCGTGCTTTTTACAGTACTACGGCTTCCACAGATGGCATTTTTTTATGGATTTTTTGTCAAAGCACTTAATATATTCATTGCTATCGGGATGTTAAGAGCATTCCATGGAATATAACAAAAAGTGTATCTCGAGCCGGTTTCTCAAACTTACATATACCCTACCTTTAATTGATTATTAATATGGTAATCATTTATTTCTGTCAATGATAACTTAAATAATCGATTAATCCTTAAAGATAAAAATATGCAGGCTGTAAATTGAATAAAAGGGAAGAAACATACTAACCGGACCATATGCACTCTTTTACGAGCAGAATACAGTTCTTCAGATAGGCTATTTAATGGGAGAGAAGTACTTGGATATACTTAAGTACCACCATAATACTCTGTTAAAAGTCCTGCATTTAAAACGTGTAAAAGTATTAGCATCAAAATATACTACTCTAAGGCAGATTGGCCCATTTTCCTATAATATAATGTGTTGATGATAATTTAAGTGTTTATTAAACCTTATAAATGTGCAGATATTTTTAATTACCTTGTATGCTGCAGGTTATCTTGTGAATGTGACTCCAGGTGTGATTAAAGTCTTATTTAAGTGTTTTATATGTCACTTAATTGATCCAAATCTTCACTAAAGGTAATGCATTAATGCACACCATTTACCAATTTAGGTAAATCGTAGGCTAGTGGGTAGGAAGTACAAAGTAAGAAAACATTTAAATACTCAAGTAAAGTACAAGTCCCTTAAAAGTGTATTAAAGTACAGTACTTGAGTAAATCTACTTACAACACAGTTTTTCTATGCTGCGGTAGCGCCCCCTGCTGTATGAGGTCAGGAAGCGACACTCAATTTTGAATTTCGCTGTCCCTTGAGGATGGCCGTTGCGCATGCGCAGATAATGTAACAAGATGGCGGAGAGTGCGGAACTGAAGGTAAAGCGAGCCCCTTCATTAGCTTGACAAATAAGCAGTTCATACAGTAAGATTTGAATTTCAAATCATAGCACCATTGTTATTTGAAAATAAAGACCCGATGTGTGTTGCTTTTAAAGCATTTAATACCAAAACAACAGCAGTGAAGACCGGACCAGCTGTTAGCTGTCTGGCTAGCTCTTTAGCATTAGCTTTGTTATTGTTGCCGACGTTCCGTTAGGCTGCCTCCGCTGAGCGGCTCACCTGCAGATAAGGCCATATATCGCTTATAGACAAATACTAAAACAACATTCATTTCTACGTGTTGTACCCGACGGCACTGTGGTGTTAGGTAACTGACATTATCAGTAGAGCATCAGGTGAACTGCAATATCTGTTTTATAATGGGCTCTGTCTATTCCCTGGAAGACAAGCGCAATGTAGCTTCCATTGGCGTTATTTTGTATTTGATGTGAAGGACCAGTCCACGAAATATGTTCACTATCCACAGTCTTGTCTACTGTAATGTTGTTTATGTGGCGATTGTTGTTTGAACAGACGAGATAAACGAAATACTGTGTCTTTAGGTTATGTTTCAGTCAGATTACACCGGTATCACACAGGCGCTGTTAGCTAGCCTATGCTAAATGTGTCCCTCAACCTTCTTCTACCCTCTTATATTAGAACGTAATTCATATTTGAAATAAAACTGTGAAACGGTTTGTTTTCATCTCCTCACGTCCTTAACGAATTTCTACACTGTTGCCTCAACTCATTAATCTCGTATTAGCCTTATTAAATCTATACTGTATACAAGTCATTTAACATACATTTGTATATAATTTACATTTAGTGAGTGCATCTGGCACAACATGTTGTATTAAGCAGCCAGATATTAAGCATTATTGGTATGTTTACGGTTACTAAAATATTCAGCTTTTCCAGTCCAGCATTGAGAGCTTATTGGGATTGTCAATTAACATGCAGATGACTTTGATTGATCAAGTGGGTTGAAAGTTACATGTGCATATGCTCTTCATAATGACAGGTTGTCTTTTAATGCAAACATTATGTGTTGTAATGGTGTGTAGAGCAACATTGCACGTTTTAAACATCGTAGTTCATGAGAGTACTATACATATGGTGGACATGAAAACATGAGTACCTTTTTAATGTAACATCAGGTAACATTACCTTTTGCTTTGATGGACTGCATTATACACTATAGAATGTATTTGTTGGAAATATAAATATCCTAAAGCAAAACAAAAACGACCACTGCATGGTATAATGCAGGCTAATACATCATCACAAGCTACTTTTCAAAGTTTGAATTGACACCTCTCTGACACTGTCTCAAGACGCAGTCTCTGCTGTATTATATTCCATTATTTTGTGCAGATATTCATGCTATTGTTTCCCCCCCTGTATTATTACTTCCAGCATGTGCAGTGATGCTTTATGCATTACAGCTATTAGTTGATGAAGTATAAATTATGTTAGTGGCTTTGTTTGTTAAATATACTGTGTCTGCTTTTATTGTGTGGTTTTATTGTACCCAGACAAAGTCCAAAGAAACTCTATAAATCGTACTTCTCCAAGCATGATTTGAAATATATAAATCAGACATGATTTAATAGTTATGCTTTAAGTGGTAAAGTCTAAACGAGAAAATGAGACTTGTTTGTGATAATAATATTGTAATAATTGACCATTTTGGCCACTTTTCTTTTTTTCCCAGCAAATGGTAATGAGCCTTCGAGTTTCGGAGCTCCAGGTGTTGTTGGGGTATGCAGGACGGAATAAGCACGGCCGCAAACACGAACTTTTGACCAAAGCTCTCCACCTACTGAAGGCTGGGTGCAGTCCGGCAGTGCAGATGAAGATCAAAGAGCTCTACAGACGGCGCTTCCCAACCAAAATGGTTTCGCCGGTGGACCTGGCTCTGCCTGGCGTTCATTCGGCCTCCAGCCTGCCTGCTGGCCTCGCCCAGCTGGGGTTTGACAGCCACGGTTCCCCCTCGCCTCTGCTGCCGGTCTCTTTACTCGGGCCAAAGCATGAGCTGAATCTGTCCCACCTCCCCTCCGCCCTGCACCCTGTTCACCCCGATGTCAAGCTCCAGAGACTGCCATTCTACGACGTTCTGGATGAGCTCATTAAGCCAACCAGCTTGGGTGAGTCCACCACTTCCTGCTGTGGGTGATGGAGCATTGTGACCACAGATATCTGTAACATGACTTTTCAAAACCGTGCTTGGTTAAAGTTCAATATGAGTTGCCATTAGTGCCTAGGAAATGCTGAAGGTTTCCCCTCTGAGTGTCATGCTGTGTTGTGGTTTCTTTTTTGTAGCCTCAGACAACAGTCAGCGGTTCCAGGAAGCATGTTATGCCTTTGCATTAACACCGCACCAAGTTACACAGATCAGCAGCTCCATGTAAGTGAGAAAGCTCTCTGGTAAGAGACGAGAAGGAAGAAAAAACACAATGTTACTACCAAACTATTTTCAATGTACTGTTTACATGATTTAGAATGCAGCTGTTATATCTGACACAGCAAGCAATCGTAGTAAACTGATGTGTTTTAAATGCTGTTTTACTTTGGGCCAGCCTCATTTGACTTCTGACTCTTTTCACTTCTTTAGGGACATATCTGGGACCAAATGTGACTTTGCTGTTCAAGTACAGTTAAGGTATGTTGAACATACATTTCTCTTTTTACCAATAAGTACATTTGCATTCAGTGAATTTTGGGGCTCTGTTAGCCTCTCTCAGTTTTGAGAAGTTTCCAGAAATAGTTGGCATTTGTACAGTTTTTGTCATTTATGTCTATCTTTTTCAGATTCAGATGAAAGCATTTTAACCCTCACCCAAGTTTTAACTTCAACCTTAACTATGTTCTTTATTTGACAGTTTAAGGCATGTTCAATAAAAAAAGATGGGAAGTTTTTAGATTAGCATGAGAAACACATTAATAATACATTACATATATATAGCGCTTTTCCTGGTGCTCAAAGCGCTTACATTAGTTTTTTACATTTGTCCTTCACATTAGAGCTTCTGTCATTTATTTTCTTCCTTTTCAGATTTTGTTTATCAGAGACCAGCTGTCCCCAGGAGGATCATTTCCCCCCTAATCTGTGTGTGAAGGTGAACGGCAAACCCTGTAATCTCCCGGTGAGTCCCGACAGTTTGTAGTTGGATTATTTTATCATACTTTCTGTGTAACACGACACCAATTTCTGAGAATCGAGGTCACTGATGTTGGATGTTTTCTCTGCAGGGATATCTTCCTCCAACCAAAAATGGAGTTGAACCAAAAAGGCCCAGTCGCTCCATCAACATCACCTCTCTGGTCCGACTGTCCACCACAGTACCCAACACAATTGTGGTGTCATGGACTTCAGAAATTGGGAGGGTAAGAAGACGTTTGCAAAGCGTTGGGATTCAATCTGCATAGCCCATTAAAAAGGACATTAGATATGTCAGTGTAACTCACTCGCTCATTATTTCTGTCTTTTTTCTGTCAGAGTTTTTCCATGGCTGTGTATCTGGTAAGACAGCAGTCCTCTGTAGTGTTGTTGCAAAGACTACGGGCCAAAGGAATAAGAAACCCGGACCACTCAAGAGCTCTGAGTAAGTTTCCACTACATCTGTAAGTCAAAGACAATCATATAAATTAACTTTCATATTGTCACAACTGTTTTGTGACAACGACACGGAAATCCGGGAAGTAAAGATAGGAGCCAAAAAGGGAACAAAGTTTAAGTTCCTTAATTGTTTCATTGTTCAGTTTTTGCATGTAACAACATTCTTCCATCGAGGTTATTCCATGTTCTCTTGTTTTATTTAGTGTGTATTGATCAAATTGACAGAATCCACTTGAATGAAACACACTCATTTAATCTTTGTGTTTGTCTTTTCTCTCTGACAGTTAAAGAGAAGTTAACAGCTGATCCAGAGAGTGAGATCGCCACCACCAGTCTACGAGTCTCTCTCCTGTGTCCTGTAAATACTCCACTACACACTGCTCCTTTTAAAGAAAATGTATTTTAGATTGTTGTGAGAAATATTTGAGTAGCCTTCATAATAGTTGCAGAACCAGTTTGTCAATCCGCCTATTCATAGATCAACAAACTTTAATTAGGAATTCAAATGACAAAGACTGTATTTTAATTGGTTGGGAGACAAAAAGCACATACTCGATACTAAAAGGACATTTTTTGCTTTGCCCTATTATTATATTATGTCCAATCAAACGAAATGGTGCATACATGATTTAAAGAAGTAACATTTATTTTGTGTTTTCTCTTTTAGCTGGGGAAGATGAGGCTGACCATCCCGTGCAGAGCGCTCACGTGTTCTCACCTTCAGTGCTTCGATGCTACACTTTACATCCAAATGAACGAGAAGAAGCCGACCTGGGTGTGTCCAGTCTGCGACAAGAAGGCACCGTACGAACACCTCATTATCGACGGGTGAGCACAACACGGCACACGTTCCTGCTAGCTTACTGTCTGACATGATCATAATGCAATTTGCCTTACATAATAATCCCTCTTCATTGTGTTAAAACAATCTAAGGAGTGCTTTGGAGTCAAAATAATGGAATTGTTGCTTTACTTGACCAGCCTGCTTTATATGTTATTATCTCATTTGTACCTGAAGCCTGCACCAAAGCAACCTTTTATATAACTGCCTAAAAACCCAGATATAATTTGCAGCTTTAATTTCCAACAATACTGTATTTCCAAATGATCAGTGTTAAAGGATGAAGACCTACTGAAGCTCGTGTTGTACTGGTTGCAAAGGTGCTCAACTGTTTGAACTGTCCTGCTGTTTTTCTCAGGTTGTTCATGGAAATCCTGAATAGCTGTTCTGACTGCGATGAAATCCAGTTCAAAGAAGATGGAAACTGGCATCCCATGAGGTCGAAGAGAGAGGTGCAGGAGGTGTCCGCTTCGTACAACGGCGTAGACAGCGGTATGTAACGTGTGCATTTCAGAGTCTTCCTGTGTTTCCGGTGCATTGAGCACAGTGTGAGGTAACTGTTCCTTTTTTAGACTCGTCTCAGACCAACCCGCAGGAGCACAGGCGGGGATCAAACGACAACAACAAGAAAGTGGATGTGATCGACCTGACACTCGACAGCTCTTCAGAGGAGGAGCTGGACGACGAGCCGCCTCTCAAAAGACCCTGTCCCTCGCTGTCCCCCGTCTCTCCGCCTCCGAGCAAGGGGTGAGTCTCAAAACCAAAAAACAGGAAGTTAGATAACGGTAAACTTTGTGCTCCGCTCTGGTGTGTTACTTCCTTTGTTCGACTAATGTGATGTCGCTGTGTTTCCTCTCAGAGTACTGAACCTACACACCCAGGACTCTCCAGTGAGCAGAGATCCCAGCATGCCCCCTGTGGAGAGCAGCTACATTCCTCCCCCCCCTCCCCTCATCCAGGACTATCGCCACTATTATCACACAACTAGTGACCTGCCAGGTACGACTGTCACTACAATAAACTTTAGCCGAGTCTGTCTTTATACAATAAACACATATGTATGATCGAAATATTATTGGCAACAGTATTCATTTGTTCAGTCCATACTGTTGGAGAAGGAATATGTCTTCTAAGGTTCATCCAAAGCTGATGAAAGCTGAAAAGCTCAAAGCTGAGCTGTGTTTACTTGCTGAGTAGTGGTAGAGCGATATGTCCTGATAGTCGGGTGATCGCATTTCTACCAAGATGAAGACTAGTTTTGGCTTTGAATCACGCCTGTGGATAAAGGCCCCATCTCTTTAAAGTGTGCTCAGACAAAACTGATTGTTTTGTGCACCCCTTACACACTGCAACTGCCATTACTATGATCATTGCTATTTGAACTACCAGTAGTCATTTTAATATTTGATTAACCGTAACATAAGGGATAATCGTGCTATTACATTTTTTTTAATACAGTTATATTTGTCTATGTTTTTTTTAAATAGCCACTACTTGGTGAATTAGGTATTGGCTGTTCCTGTTTGCAATTTCCTCAAATATCTACAGACAACACAATCACTTACTTTGATTATGAAAAAAAAGGCTTCTGGAGTTATGAGAAGCACGTTTTTTTTCGTGTTATTCTTTTGCACAATTCCTGTCAATCTACTGCAATTTCTGTAAAGAAGCTTACCTTAGGTGTTAGGGTCCTTGCTGCAGCTCCATCTGCTCAAGGAGATGTATAGCCTCACAGCAAGTGTGGGTGGGACACTACAGCAGCCCATTGTTCTTTGTTTCAATATGTTGAAGCAATGCATGTTTTATACATTGAAACATAGTTAAAAAGGCGCACCTATTTGTAAACAAATGTTTGTTCCTTGTTGTTGAGTCTTGTGTCTTCTCTTACAGATTTAAATTTCTTCTCCTTCCTCCAAGGCGACAATCAGGTATATTCACTGCAACACCTGACCTTCAGCAGAATCATACTGCCCTTGTTTATGTCTGGTAGTTTCATGTTAATGGTAACTCTTCTCTGTCCTGTTAGCATTACAACATGGTGATGGCCGCCGCAGCAGCAGCCTCAGCGTCCGCCTCAGAGGACCACGACCTGCTCCTGAACCGCTTCCTGCCCTATCCCTCTCAGATGCTGCGGGAGCAGTCGGGCACCCCGGGGAGCAGCACGCTGGCCGCCACCAACGGGGGCAGCAACAGTGGCAGCACCAGCAGCTTGGTGTCCTCCAGCAGCCTGCGGGACCACGATAAAGACAGAGAGCGGGACAGGGACAGGGACAACCTCTCAGGACTGTCCAGGTCCTCGGTGGAAGCTGCAGCGGCGGCGGCGGCCATTTATGGCTCCATATCTGACGTTATCTCTCTTGACTAGATCCACACAGAACTAACAGACAAGGGAGACCGGGAGGTCTTTGTAAATAAGGAAGAAGATGAAAGAATACAGTGCTATGTACAGAGAGGAAAATCTATTTTCAATTTTACTTATCATATGTATATAAACTTAGGACGCTTCTTGTCCGGTGAGTTACTTCAGTTGATATTTTTCTGTGAATACTGAAGACTTTTTCACACCCCTTCATGTGGTCCTTTGATTATATTGTACCTTTTGTACCTGGTTTTTACAGTTTTGTTTCGATATTCCATGTTGATGGCATTATTTCAGTATAATGTTATGTGCACAGAACCCAATGAGGTCGTACCTTATGTAACATGATATTTAGAATATAAAGAAAATGGGCATTGTTATAGATGTAAAAAAAGGCAAGTCAGAGCAAAACAGGAAAATGTAAAACTTTTCTTTATTTTCTAAATGGCATCATATCTGTCAAAAATGTTTTGACAGCAGAAAGATCTGGCCATTTTAGCCATCACTGTAGATTTTTCTGTGAGACACTCATGCTGTGGTCATATTATTTTTAAGAAATTATTTATGATGTAAGTTATGTTGGATGTATGCGGTTTTTTAAAGAAGCATTCCTCATGCCTCTAGGAACTGTTGCCACTAGAATTGCAAACGCTAGATCCTTCTGTTGTCATAACTGCACTCTTCGCCTGTTTCAGTCAAATATGAACAATAGTGTATAGTTTAGACTGTACCTAAAATACATATAAATAAGAAGTAAGTCAGTATTGTAAGACCAGGCTTTTACACGGTGTGAATGAATGGCACTAGTCCAGCAAGCAGCCTTTTTGTTGTGTACTTTTCTTTTAAAGTACGTCTATTTTATTTTGAAAATATACGCAGGAAACTACAGAAACGTGACAGGTTGACCTCTTTCAAGACGGAGCTAGCTTCCGATCCACTTCATTCTTTATTTAACATTTCATGATGTCTTTATGTTTGATTTTAGCACTTGCTTCTTTACATAAAGGCTGTATGGAGCAGTGAGGCATTCACACTTAGTCGTTTGCCGCTTTGCATGTCTCTGCGAATGACCTGAACGCTCTAAAGCTCGTCCTGACTCCTGAGCGAGCTGTTCTGCGGCGAGGCCTCAGGATGCAGAGCCTTTCTTTCTTAAGTGTATTTGCAGACGCCTTTTAGAGAGCTGTGATAGCTTAGTCTTCGAGTGTTTCACAACATGCATTTTGGCCCAGAAGTTAAAACCATTGAAGTTATTACGGACGCATCCCCTCCCTTTATTTTTCTTGACTTATGCTTACAATTAGGATTATTTATTATCATATATATTTTAAGCATTCATTTGATTCGTGAATATACATTGCTGTCATTGTATGTGATATTTCTTTTGTAATTATATAATTAATGCTATTTAAAAATGTCATAGTTGCTTGACATGCATTGTAACATTTTCTTTTGTTTTACTATCAGATGTCGATAACTCAATAGAGGCTTTGATCATTTTGAACCGCTACAAGGTCTACTGTGCTGTTTGATATTTGTAAGAATTAAACAGAAGAAAGTGCACATTTGGAGTGTCTCTGGTGACAGTCTTTGTTCAGCTGCATGTGTTTTGTTACTGAGACGTCTTCTAATCCAGTTAGTTGCTTGGTGAAAATCCTAAACTTAAAGGTCCCCTATTATACTGTTTTTCATCAATATATTATCGGTCTCAGATATATACAAAACATGTCTCTGACGTGTTTGGCTCGTAATACCAAACAGATCATTGAAGCATCCCATAAACCCCTCTGTTTCCGCCCTGTTTCAAAAGTGCTGATCCTCTGTCTGTTACTTTAGATGAAAATAAGGAGCCACTCCCCACGCCCCTCTGAGAGATATTAGGTTCAAAAGAACACAATGGTGCTCTAGGAGGAGATTCAGGTGATAAGGTGGGTGGGGGGGGGGTTACCTTGGTTGGTTATTGGCTAATGGTTACACAAGCCAAAACATCGTTATGACATCATAAAGTGGCCAAAATCTGATCAGCTCATTTTCAGACAGGTTTTTATATAAATGGATCAGGACAAAAAGTGAGCAAATATTTTTTCACACATGTTTATATATAAAAGACAGGAACAAGTGGATTTTGCATAATAGGTGACCTTTAATACTTCTGTGTGTGTTTTAAATACTTTAATTGTAAAGCCTGATTCTGAAACAAAAAAAAAAGAAGACAAATTCAAGTGCAATGAAAGACAGCAAGTGCCAGAATATCCCATTATTCATAACAAACTAGACATTCATCATCACCAAAATGATAACTGTATAGACCTATACAACCACCGACAAGCCTTCATGTTGCTTTCCATTTTAGAGGTTCACAGAGGTTATGCTTTACAGAATTGATTGATATCAGAGTTTTTTTGTCCAGGCAACGTGTGGGCAAAACTACAAAGACTAATTATTCTATTCTATTATTATATAATGGGTGACCTTTAATCAAACTTTTGAAACACAAAAAGCATACCCTTAAATCAGAGGCCAATTTAGTAGCTTTGAATTACAAAGATTTGATGAAGAAAAAAGTCAGTAGTATGTGTTCATGTTAACTCACTAAACATAAAATGCATTTGAGGCTGGAAGTGACATTAGCTTTCTTGGTATTTGGTCGGAAAAAAAAGTTGCTCCATCTGTATTGTTGAATATATTTCCCACCCTGCTCCGCCTATTTTTAAACTGAATAGGAAACAGATGCACTTACGCTGAGTTCTCAGTTATTGATTTACTAGTCATGGATCAATAGGTTTTGAGATTTGACAGGGACCTTGGTGTGGTGAGGGGGCCTAAGCAATGTGTCATAGACTGCTTATTGTATTTCAGCTACAGTTAACACAGTTCAGGGTAAGATCAAGCTTTAAATGTCCTTGTTCAGAAACTTGCTTTCATATTACTTTTATTCACATGGCCTGTGTTTAGAGGGAGCAATGAGGTTGTTGGTGGCCTAACGTGAGACACAGAAGTGTAGAGTTTGCTGTGTTTAGTTATAATGAACATTATCAAAGACATTTTGAAATGTCACAGTGGAAAGGCTCCTGGTGGTGTATGTGAATCACGAATATGTAGCAAAAGGAGAAATTTCTTTTATAAATACATTTCATTCATTTAATTTCCTTTTTAAATTGAATTATTCATTTGTCACAATAGACAAACAACAAAATACTCTAGACTCATTCATTGAATAATCGTTTTATTAATAAGTGAGTTTATTAACATTCAAATGATACTTTAATGTATCAGTTGATAGTAAAACTATCCATTTATTTTAATTTAATTCTCTTTGTAATTATGCCAGTGGCACACCTCTGGCTTCATAACACATTGCCTTAAATCACAATTTGAGCACACATTTTGGTTAGGTGTAACCAATAGCAACACAAGGCTCAGTTGCATTTAGGTTTTGTCAGTGAGCCAAACCAATCTGCACATAAGAGCCAAAAACTGGCACAAATAAAGCTGCACCAGGGTCTGTTTCGCCGGAGAGCTGTCGGAAGAAAACCAAAGCAGCTTTTAATGCTTTGTGTGAAACCCTATACTGAATCAGGGTGATACAGAACCAAGTAACGCCCTAATCTGTATAAATTTACTATTTTCTCATAAAACTCCTAAATTAAGTCTCAGCTGATCCCTATATATTTGTTTAGCTTCAGAATGATGACTATAGGTGCCACAATTACTTATGTTTCTGTTCTGTTTTTTCATATACTAAAAATGTGGTATGTGGTACATTTTGTGGACCTTACAGGAACAGCAATATAAATATACAAATAATATACTTTTTATTATCATTTTAAAAAACCGGAATACAAATGTAGAGAGAAAAATATAGGACACAGACGTTCAAAAACACGTTTACTTTTTTCACTCTGCATAAATTAAAATTTGGCATTTCATCGTGAGCCACATCTTTGGTCGCGGTATTATTGCGTCATCGCGTTGATTATGACGTATGTAGAGAGCGGCACCGTTTCAGACTGGAATGGAAGCTAGCAATTTTCCCCATATTTTGTTAGTTTAATCCGTGAATGGCGCCGAAACAGGACCCGAAACCTAAATTTCAAGAAGGTAATACACTGTCTTGTTATATTTTCCGAGAGGTTTATGGTTTCGGTGAGGGCTGGGACCTTCGGAAATGTCCGGTGTGTGTTAGCTAGCATTAGCACGAACCGCTATCTCTGTTAGCCTCTATTGTTGTTTCACTAAACAGGTTTGATCGTTTTTATCCTCCGCTTTAGTGAACTATCACTACCTGATTTTCTTTTCAACATCGTGTTATATTAGCAAGAGCATACCTGCAAAATATATGGTTTTAATGTTAGCGTTATTGGGATTTTCTGACTATAAGCGGTAGCTTCATTCATGCAGCGTTAGCTCCCATTGATTTCACCGCCCACTTTTCTGTTCTCCCCATAGACTGTATTATTTTTACATACCGTTTAATGTAGAACTGTGATCTGAGATCTAACTGGCTAACTTCTGCTGTCATATTGTGTTTTTTCTGCTGCTCTCAGAGAAATGCAAAAAGCTTCGTGCATCGAAAGTAATTTAGGATTAGTTGATGTGTAGCTACTTGCTAATATATAAAAAAAATATTGGTCAACTATTTCTGCAAATAACTGATTACGTTTTAGGCTTTACACATAGATCAAACCAAGTCTGCTACTAAATGAAACACTTGACACTAGCCTGACTGATGAGTCCCACTTGTGCAGTTTAAACAAATGTGTTACCCCTTGATGTAATGATTGTTCTCGGCCATCAGACATTTGTTGAATAATTAAAATGTAAGGTGTAATAATTGTTTGTGTGTGTGTCAGTAGTTTAGTCAGCCTTACATTTTCATCGTGATTCACTCGAACTGATCTCATGCTGATTTTAATTGACCGACACTCTGTTCAGGTGAAAGAGTGCTGTGTTTTCATGGGCCATTGCTCTACGAAGCTAAGGTAGGCTGTCCTAGTTAGCCTGTTTCTCTGATCATGTGGTCCTTCCCTGTGTCTGGTACATTTTTGACAATAACGTATGTCTTTCTTTGCAGTGTGTTAAGATAAACATCAAGGACAAACATATCAAATACTTTATTCATTACAGTGGTTGGAATAAGAAGTAAGTGTTTGCTAAAATAAATGACATTTTTAAGAATTGTACGGTATAGGGTTTCAATGTGATTAATTCATTTCATGGTGTTTTGTCTTTCAGCTGGGACGAATGGGTTCCTGAAAGCAGAGTGCTAAAGTATGTGGACAGTAATCTGCAGAAACAGAAAGAGCTTCAGAGGGCCAATCAGTAAGTCTATCGTCCCGTGTTTTACATCTTTGTATTTACTAATTTTAATGTTTAAAATGTAAATATATTGAGTTCTTTATGGCCAAGGTCCACAAAAAGAGCCTTATAAAAACACCACTGTCTGTGTCCTCTAATCTCCTGAAAGCGAATGATATATTAAGTATTGAACATGTTTTGTTCTCTTAATTTAGAGACCATTATGTAGAAGGGAGAATGAGGGGTGCTGCGCCAAATAAGAAAATACCTGCTCCCCCGCAGAAAAATGATGTGTGAGTTGATGTCATTCTTTATTCTACCTGTCAGCTGATTTGATGTTTCCTGCCAAGCTTTTTATAAGGACAATGTTTTAAAAAAAACACATGTTTACACCTTTTTGTTGTTGTTGTAGGAAAACCAAAAAGAACAAACAAAAGAGTAAGTCCATCATATTTGTGTATTTACATATTAGTGTACATGCATGCTCTCTAAAATACAAATCATCAGGTTTTTGCAAGTGTGTTTCCACCGTCATTGTTTTTATGGATAAAATAACACATAGTTATGTTTCTGAATGTGCAGCTCCTGGTGCCGGTGAAGGAACTAGTTCAGGAGGAGACCCTACCCACCCTCCACGAAAGAAGAGGGCACGCGTCGACCCAACTGTTGAAAGTGTGAGTTAATACATCTACCAAGTTGCTTTTGAGGCATTACCTGTGTAAACATTGTGCTATAAGCTTCATTTTGTGGCTTTTCTGACATTGGTTCCTGTTTTTTCAGGAGGAGACCTTCATAAATCGAGTGGAGGTGAAAGTAAAAATCCCTGAGGAACTGAAACCATGGCTTGTTGATGACTGGGACCTGATTACACGACAAAAACAGGTTATTAACCGCACAGCATTTTATTGATTAAAATCCCATGTATTTGCATTATATCATTTCCAAAGTTATTTATCAGCATTGTTCTTTTTTGTTTCATGATTTCAGCTTTTCCACCTACCTGCCAAGAAGAACGTTGATTCAGTCCTGGAAGATTATGCAAACTACAAGAAATCCAGAGGAAACTCTGACAGCAAGTAAATGCACACATTGTTACTACTTACAGTATTTACTTACTTAGCTGTTGTAGATCACCAGGCAGTGCAAAAACATGACTTGCTTTGTGTCATTGTTATATGTAACTCGTTTTTTCCTCCCCTGCTCAGGGAGTTTGCTGTGAACGAGGTGGTTGCTGGTATCAAGGAATATTTCAGTGTCATGCTGGGCACACA